AAAAAAAAAAAAGAAAGTCTATCAAGTCAGCAATGTTCACTGAGTGCCCTCCTTACCCCCATTTCACAGAGCAGGAGACTGAGGTTTGGACAAGTTCAGCTACTTACAGCACAAGCCAGTTACTTGCTATCCTACCTCCCACAGGCACAGTCTTCTCTGAATAAGGTTGTGCATAAGCCTACATGTGACCATCATTCCACATCTCCCTTAGAGGGAATTTCCCGGCTCCACAAAGATGGGAGCTTTGTCCCCTCCCAGACTGGCTGCTCTATCCCCAAAGCCCTGAGGTAGGTTGGCAGGAGGGAAGCTCTTGCTGGCTGGGGCTTCTGCCAAGCCACACCTGCCCCAGTGCTCCTGAGCTCAGATCTGTCCTGGCTTGTGCCTGCCACATGTGGGCTTGGGGAAGCTCTGTTTTTGGCAGCTGGTGTGCAGAGAGGGCCCTTATCCTTAAGGGTGTTAGGGGATGAGGGTGTGTGACTCACTGAGCTCTGGTGGGTGGGAGACTGCAGCTGCAGGGGTGGGGAGGAGCAGATCCTAACCCAGGAGAGATTTTTCAGGCCCGTAGGCATGCTGGCCCAATGCCAGGTGGAGGCTCAGGTCACACTGCCAGCGGTCTCCTGAGGCTGGCTACAGAAGCCCTTCAGGCAGGGTGGGAAAGCTCTTAGCTCTAGCTGTCCCCTGGACTGACCTGGGTATCACACACATGTGCCACAGAGCTGAGTTTCCAATAGCTGTGTGGCTAAAGGGACACAGGGACACTTCTCCCATCTCCTTAGGCCCCAGCGCAGGGGAGAAACTACGGAGTGGCAGGTGAAGGGTTAATGGGCAGCATCTGTGTTAATAGAGCAGGGTCCTGAGGTCTTTGGAGAAGGGGACTGCTTCCCCCACTTGGGGGTAGCCTGGAGGAATGAGATGCCCTTGAACTCTTTGTACTTGGGTTGGGGAAAGGGCCCCTAGTAGTCTTGGTAGGGTATAGGAGGGGCAGAGGATTTTGGTGGGGCTATGGCCCCTGCAGGGTGGGGGATCCAGGAGAGGAAGGAGAAAGTGGGAGGGTCAAAGGATGATGGGAAGCCCATGATTGGCAGCTGATTTGGTGATGGGAGCAAGCACCTAAGGTTGGAGGTGATCCAGGTGGGGAAGGGTGGGGGGAGGCACCAGGGCTGGAGACTGTCCAGTGGGATACCCCAGCACCAGGACATTCTGAGACCCTGCATCATCCCTGTAGTACTGGGGTAGGGGAGGCATCTGGGCTTGGCTCAGTGGTGAAGGGTAAGCTCCAGAGTGGGGGGATGGGAACACAGCTGCCTGCCATCCTGCCTCTCCAGACTGGGGTCCTCCCAGTGCTGCTTGGTTCACAGGGTGGCTCACTGGGGCCTTACTGAGTGGAAGGGTGGCCTACCCTCTTTCTGGCTTTGTGCATAAACCTGTAGGCTCTGGAGCCAGATTCTTATTCTGGCCTGCTGGGCAAACTTGGGCAAGTCTCTGTTGAGCCTCTCTGAGCCTCAATTACCTCATCTGGAAAACAAAAATACTTACCTCTTAAGGGTGCTATGAGGATTAAAGGAGAAAGTAGCTGCCAGGAGCCTGGCACTGACAATGTTATACGCTATGGCACAATAGCAGGGGCACCACCAATGTCAGCTTCTTGGGGATGGGCCTGGGAAAGGGGTGGGGCAGACCTCTTCCCCAGAGCTTCCTTACCATGTGTTCTGGGCTTGGTGTCAGCTGGACCCCAGCCGGTCCAGCCCAACTCCAACCTGGGCCCTGATAGCCCCAGATCTAAGGAAAAAGCGACCCCTCTGCCAGTCAGGAAAAGGGGGCTTGTGGTCTCCTTCATTCCCCTCTTGACTCCAAG